ACGTCGAGAGTGACCGACTGAAATGGAACGTCTCGGTTACGTATGTAACCTTCATTCCCTGAGGGAGGGAACGGAGACGTCACGTACCATCGCCACAGCTCCTGTACCACCGCTGAGCGGCCGGGTCACTGGCTCGGCTCCTCAGCGAAAACCTGAATATGCGCTGCATCTGCTGTCTACTTATACTCACGCTGTGATCAGCAGCAGCTGGATGCAATAATCGCATGCCAATGTGCATTGGCTCGTTTAGTTTACACTCAGAAGTAGTTTGGTCCCTCTAAGAGAGATCTCAATTCGTCGGTCATCCGACGTGACGTCTCCGTTCCCTCCCTCAGGGAACGAGGGTTACATACGTAACCGAGACGATTTTTATAATGCATTGTCTTCTTATCGATCCACCAGTTCACATTTAAAGCTCTGCGTGTTTGCAGGGTAAAAACATGGGTCGATTTTTGCATTTGTCTGAACTCTGAACAAAACAACAGTTTTATTGAAAATGCTTGTTCATTCTCTGCCAGCAGGTGGAGCGTTTGGTAGAAATATAACCGTTTTCCCCGGTAACAGCAGAACACACAGCAGCGCAGCACCGGACTTTTTACGTGCAGCGCTCTCGTTTATTTAATCAAATCAAAGCCTTTTGAAGTTTAATCGTCACATTGAGCCATATCGCAATTCTGGTCTTTCCGTCCCCAAATTTAAGACCTCTTGAAATCATAATTAAGACTTTCTTGTACAATTTTTAAGACTTTTTATGGCCTTAAATTTGACGCAACTAAATTTAAGAGTTTTTAAGACCTCGCGGAAACCCTGAAAAATTAATGATTTCATTTAAAATTAAGTCATTTAAATTTTAATAATTGATATTAAATTTAAAAAAATAAATACAAGAAATAAAATAAATTACAACAATTAAAAATGAATCAATTAATTAATAAAATTAATTTTGTAACCAAAGTTTGTCAGAATTTCGTTGATACAATTTGTCAGGAATAGAAAATCTGATACAATGATATCATAAAATAGTGTTTTCTAAGCTAAAATTACACAAAAAGTGCTATTTTGAGGCTGATCCAATCCGCATACACATTCTGTGATGTTTTTGGAAGTAGTTAGTCAGTTTTCTTTGATTATCCACATGCTCAGATGAAACAGTTTTACTCAGCTGTTGCTGAGTCAGTTCTGTGAACTTCTATAACTATCTTGTGTTTTATATATATATATATATATATATATATGTGGTTATTTGTATGTATGTATCAAGAGTTCCTGTAAAACCACAACAAATTCCTTGTGTTTGCGCACACTTAAGTGGTGAATAAAGCTCATTCTGTTTCTGATTCTAATATAACTAGCATACATGTTTCACTTTTTGTGAGAAGAAAGCACCCCTACAACATCTTCTGAAAGTGAACGGTGTTTTACTCAAGCATTACATAAAAATGTCATTTTAACATTAGTGTAATCATTTTAACATGAGTTTAGGAACTGAATAATAAAAAGGAAAAATAAAACACTGCTTAGAATTTACTCTTTGAATTCAATATGCACATTCTTATTTAAGCTACAAAAGTTATTTAGGTAAAAGCAGTGAGTGATTTTCTCTTTGTCTTTTGTTCATGGGCCCAAATATTGCAAGCCGTAGCGATATGCATATTGCGATATGTACATTTGCGATATTTCGATATATTGCACAGCCCTAATATTGAGGGTGAATAGGACATGTTCTTGATGGATTCATCATTACTAGAGGACAAACGGAGTTGAACTGAGGGAAACAGGAGGAGGAACATTAGATCAGCGCAGCCTAACTCACTCGAGTTACAGGAAGCTGGAGGGAAAACGTTCATGAATGGAGATGAATGATAGTCGTTCTGAAGACCGCTTGCTGAATAATCAGAGCTCTGCAGGCTTCAGGGTTTAAGTTTGTGTTTTAAAAGGCAAAAACACTTCTATTGATTTGTCTGCATTCAGAGTTGAGCCACTGCTTGATTCTTGTTTCATGCCATTCATTTTTTTTAATGGTTTTAGTTAACTATAATAACTATAATATAAACTTCTTAGATGAGATACTGCATATTTTATTTTTATATTTTCTGTTTTCCAGTTCAGTTCAAGTTTGGGTACTTTTGTTGTTGTTTTTGTCATTTTTGCCTATATAGTTTTTTTTATTTATTAGTTTTAGTTTTAAGTACTTCAGACTAGCTGAAAAATGTCAATTTTTTGTATTTAATATTTTATGTAAATGTTTATTTCAAGTAAAGAAAGTGTTTGTTTTTGTTTTATATGGTAATAACCCTGTTTTAATACTCATTTTTTGTTTATTTTTATATTTTCATTCAATTTTAGTTTGTTTTAGTAATTGTTGTTTTTAATTTTACATCAATTTTTATTTATTAGTTGTAGAATATTTAGTTGTAATTATTTTAGTTATTAGCTGAAATAAAATAGCTGCAGCTAATTTGGATTTCTTGTCATCTCTCCTGCTTTTCTCTGTTTTGTTAGGAAAGCAAGTCAGATCAAAACTCTCGCAAGCGTTTAACCACTGGCTCAACGTCCCAGAGGACAAAATTCAGGTGAGGCTTTATTTGTGTTTATCAGGGAGTGTTTGTGTTTCTGCATTGACTGTATTGTTGAAATATATTGTGGAAGGAGAGAAACAAATTTCTTCAAATTTGGCTTGAGTTTAAATTAAATATTCTCTATTGTAATGCGAGTATTTAGCAGTTCACGCTTCTTTTCTGTACGGTTTACAATAAAAACAAAATAATAAAGGGTAAGTGTGACTCTTTATCTCACAATTCTGACTTTGCCCCTTGCAATTCTGATGTTAACTGAAAAAACTTGGAACTGTGAGATAAATTTTAAATTATTTTTATTTTTTTATTCTGTGGTGTTAACAGAATTGTGAAATGCAATTCTGAATTTTTATCTCACAATTCTGACTTTTCTTTACAAGACAAAAGGTTGCCTTTTATTTATTTATTTTTTTACTTATTTTATTATCTTTTTGTTTGATTTTATTTTTATTTCTTTTACATTTTATTGTATTTTATTTTGATTTTTAACTTATTTCATTTAATTTTTTATTTTATATTTTTATTTATTGTATTTTATTTTTTTCATTTATTTTAACAGGCTTAAATGTTATTGACAGGTTTAGTTTAGATTGTGTGTCTGTTCCTCGTGGTATCCTCTCCCTGTCTCAGTCAAAACTGAGTGAAAGTCATGTGTTTCACTTTCTGTTCTGCTGAGGAACTTGCGACTTGGCAGAAAACCTGCTATCGGCTGCTTTATGAAAGTCTTTTTAACATGCTACTGTCTCAGTCGCTAATTAAGAGAACAGATGTTCTCACACACTACACTGGCTTTTCTTTAATCAACAACTAGTCTACATGCTCCTAATGTTTAACATGACTAATGTTAGTTAGGATTCATCAGATCATTTTCCAGCCTCTTGCCTGTTTCTGAATCGCTGCTGTACCTTCAAATGTTTATGTAAATGGACTCTTATGGTGTTGATGTGTACATGTGGTTGTGTTGTCATAACCCTGACATCAGTGATTTCTATTTATTTCATCAGATTGCATGCCTACTTTTAAATGTCTGTCAGCTGAAAGAGTTGCTTTGCGTGATGCATAGTGATTTAGTTATACATAATCAATCCACTCTTGGAAGGTTTTGCCTTTTTTTTTTATTTTTTTTTTTAATACAGTTATGGTTAGTTCAAAAGGCCCACAATCATTCCTACACCCGGTTTGCATTTCAGTGACTCGTGCCGCTTTTGCAGCTTAAAACTCCCTTGCAAACCTTTTTTTGTGCAAACTGGCCATTTCCTGTTTTGTCTTGTTGTTTTTCTGCGCTGGCATTGCAGAGACTGAAAATTATCAATGCAAATAGATTTTAGCACTCAAACATCACATCATGGGTCATTTTCAGCATTCGGCCCTTCAGATTGAGTCGAGGCGTTCATGACGGGATCGTGTTACAGCAGAGAGGAATAAATGCACATGAAGGATACGAGAAGCTTGTGAAGGAACAGTTCAGCCAGAAATGATTGCATGTCACTCATGTCATCGTGTGTTTTGCATAATAAAGAAAACTAGCCAAAATATCCAAGTTCACATAATTAAAAATATTATTATTATTATTATTTTCTTTTTAATTCTCCATTATTCCTGGTGTTTTTCATTAGATCGTTATTAGTGTTTTTTTATTGTTATATATTGTTATTGTACAGTTAAAAAAAAAAAGTACTATGATTTATTTAAATAAATAAATAATTTATTGTTTTAAAGGTGTGACATGAAAAACTGTGAATTTTTTTCTCACAGGTGGATTTTTTTTTCTTTTTTCTTGATTTCATTATTATTATCATCATATAATTTTTTGTATATTATATAACAATAATAATTTATTTTTATTATTATCATATAACCTTATTTGTGTATTTATTATTATTATTATTATTATTATTAATAATAATAATAATAGTAATACTGGGTAAAAATTAATAATACTGTATAATATATGTACGTGTGTGTATATTATAATAAATATTATAATAATTATTATATAACTTTATATTTGTGTATTATATAATGCTAATTTTATTATTATTAACCATAATAGTTGGTAAAAATAATAACTGTATAATATACATAAAATTTTACATTTATATTATGTTTAATTTTATATTGATAATTAATATTAATACTGTGCAAAAATAACTACTGTATACTGTATGTAATATTTACTGCATATAATCCTTTACATTTATTATTTCGTTGTTGTTGTGGAAAGCTCCAAAAGTAGCCTAAATCATAAAAGTAGTCTGCCTTGGTTGCTTTAAAGGGGTCATATGATGCGATTTCAATTGTTCCTTTCTCTTTGGAGTGTTACAAGCTCTTGGTGCATAAAGAAGATCTGTAAAGTTGCAAAGACTGAAGTCTCAAATCCAAAGAGATATTCTTTATAA